CACTGTGTAAGTGGCTGCCATGGCCACCAGAAGCTCAGTTCTGAAGACTGGTTTATTTTCATAGTAAGCTCATTTTTGTTACCCCCCCGCCCCGCCCCGTGTAGCCAGTGCTTTTTGTTTACATATGACTTTTGTCATTCATGCTTTTCCTGCTTCTACCCCCCCGCCCCGCCCCGTGTGCCAGTGCTTTTTGTTTACATAGACTTTGTCATTCATGCTTTTCCTGCTTCTGTTTGGTCATTCTCACATTTTAATGTTTCATAATTTCACTTTTTTTTTCATAAAGTCGTTACTTTGCACTTGTTGACTGGGCCACATTTTAAATATGCCATTTCAGGATATTCAAGGCAAAATCGAGTCTTACAAGAAAGAAGGGAGAAAGGAAAGGGTGTTTGCTGGGAATGGCCAAGTGGACGATACATTAATTCGCTGTAGGAAAGCCACTTGGAGGTGTGACACTGCTGTGTAATGATGTCACCCCTGGGAACCAGAAATGAGAGGTTTAGCACAAAGCAGGTCAGCGTGAAATGTAGTAAGCAACAGGAAAAGAGTAACAAAACCAGACTGAGCCGATTTTGAGAAAATTAAAAGCTCTCGGGCAAGAACTTAGTGTGGGATGGCTCTTTCATCTCCTTCTAAATGAAAATTTATTGAGCTATGTGATTATTTTTAGATCTTAGTTACCCGGATAACAATGTGACTTCAGAGGCCTGAGGGTATAGCTCAGTAGTACAATGTTTGCAAGGCTCAATCCCAGCACAAAAGAAAAAAAAAAAAGTAACTTTGTTCCTAAGAAAGTGTGACTTTTTCTTAATTTTAAAGCAATAAACTTTACTAGTTAAAAATCTTTTGAAGTCAGGCATGGTGGGGGGCACACCTGTAATCCCGGCACTGGAGAGACTACAGTGGGAGGATTGTGAGTTTGTGAGTTTGAGGCCAACCTTTGAATTACTTTTTTCTACTTAGTTGTCACATACGGATTGTGTTATAGCCAAGAGAGCCAATGGGGGCTTTTAGTTTTTAGTTTCAGCCGATTTCTTTAATGGTAAACTTTCTCTCCTCTTTTTTTGTTGTTGTTGTTACATTTCGGTGCTGGAGGGTTGAACCCAGAGCCTCCCACATGCTAGGCAAAAGCTTCTCCCACCGAGCTCCAACCTCGGCCCAAGGCAAACATTCTAAAAGAAACTTGCAGCTCTTTTGTAACTCTGAGTCTTCCTTCCAAGGGCCCAGATTATAGGCTGTACAAGAGTGAGCCAGAGTTAAGCACGGTGGCTGAGGTCGATGAATCTAACGGCGAGGAAAAATCTGAGCCTGTTTTGGAGACGGACACCCCTTCCACTAAAGGTCAGCATTTAGGGGTGCGGGATCCCCTTGTCTGTTTTGCACTGGTTTGGCTTTGATTGCAGACATCTTAACAATCAATTTAACTTCCATGTTGACCTGGTAGTCAACACTTCCTTCCCTGAACCTTCTGGGATCTTGTAGGCTTCTGAACTAAGATGTGAGGATGATGGCTTCTTCCATAACCATTCATGCCATCTCAGCCTGGCATGAGGCAGCACCCCGTTCAACACATTGCTTTTTCTAGAATGTTCATCCCAAGCCGATTAAAGACCAGAAAGTGTTTTACCAAGAAATAAGTTAATGCCAAACTGAACTCTTCCTGTTGACTGAGGGTTTTTCCCCATTTCAAAATTATTCATAGGAGGTTAATAGCTGAAAGAAATTTGCACAGAATTTTTAGAAAATCAATGTTAAAATAACACTTTCTTAACTGTGACTTTCGTTGTTACTGTTGTTTAATTTTTGTCATTCTTGTTTGGGTTTTTGTTTGTTGTTTGCAAACAAACACCAGGGCCTGGCACATACTAGGTGAGCACTCTACCACTGAGCTTTACCCCAGCCATGAACGCTGCTCGTCTTCGAGAAGTCAGGTCAGAAAGAGGCATGAAGATGTCAAGTCTGAGGCCAGCCTGGGACTACATAGCAAGACCTTGTCTAAAAAAAGCGGAGAGGAGAAGAGAGGAGGAGAGGAAGAAAAGAGAAGGGAGAAAGTGAGGACAGAAGGGAGGGAGGAAAAAGTAGCAGCAGTACTCTTCTGGATTAAAAAGAGGGCTGGAGTGTGGCTAAAGTGGTAGAGCTCTTGTCTAGCAATCAGGAGGCCCTGAGTTTAATTCCCCATACCTGCAAAAAGTAAAAAGATTAAAGAATAAAAAAAAAAAAAACTAGGAAAGTAGCTCAGTGGTAGAATGCTTACCTAGCGTACAAGAAGCCATGGATTCAGTCTCCACAAATACAAAGTTGGGAGTGCCGATGCATGTCTGTAATCACAGCGCTGGCTGAGGGAAGGCAGGGGGATGGGGAATTGAAGGCTAACCTGAACTACATAAGAGACCTTGTCTCAAAAAATGAAGAGGAGACAAATAAACCCAAACTTGACTGAACCGTTGTTTGAAAGAAAGAGCTGTAGCTGGATATGTGTACTCATGCCTGTAATCCCAGCACCGGGAGGCTGAGGCAGGAGAATCTGGAATTGAACTCCAGCCTGGGCTACAAAATGAGACCCCATCTCAAAAAAACAATGACAAAGAAAAAAGCTGTAAAGACATTTTTGGGGGAGAATTGTGGAAATTTAAACATCTTTTAAATACTAGTTAGTAATACCATGGTACTGGTAATGGAGGAGAATGTGGTATGTGAACGGTTTGTTTTGAGATAGGTGGTCAGTAAATAGATGTGTCATTTTTAACATTTATTGAGCAGGTTTTTCTCAATATATTCTCAGATATATTCACTTGTAGTACTCACACATATAATTTACTAAAACATGCTAAGATCAAAAACCAAAAGTCAAAACAGCACACTAATAACTGGGAATGGCTCTGATACATTCAGTGGAAGGGAATTATTTAGCCTTAAGATGCTTCCAGGATGTGACACAGAACTTTACCTGAAGGCACAAACTGCTCAGTTGATCTGTTCTTCTTCCTACTTTCACATACCTTACACTTACCATGTTACATCTCCTCTATTGAATAAAGACAGTAAAGAAAGAAGGAAATACTGTTTATCCAGTCGGTAGTTGCGCTGACATTTGGCTTAGTGGTAGAGCACTTGCCTGGCATTCGTGAAGCCTTGGTTTCAGTCATCAGCACTGAAAGAAAAAGTAGATGGTAAATAAAGACTTGGGTAGTCTTGGAGTTGATGAAATACCAGGTATGTGTGCGTAGGAAGTAAAGGTGCAGAAAGGTTGGCTCAGTGGTAGAGCATTGGCCTACCACGTGCAAGACCCTGGGTTCTATCCCCAGCATTGCTAAAATACAAAATAACAAGTAAACCAAAGGGCCACAGCTAGCCATCTCTACCCAGATCCTTGTTCTCATTCTTGTTGGTGAATACATAATACATGGGCACAGTATAAAATTAGGGGGTGGACACTCCTCGTGCAGACCCCACGAAAGACTGTACTCACACAGCAAGGACACTTAGGTAAGGCGCTTAGGGCTTTGTCTTTACCAGGGAAATGTAAACCAAAACCAGTGCGATAACCTACACCATACCACCGTCACTAACAACTGGCAATATCTTTCTTTTTTTGGTGGGCCTGGGGTTTGAACTCAGGGCTTCACCTGAGCAGGTGCTCTACCACATGGGCCACACGTCTAGTCTACTTTGCTCCAGCTATTTTAGAGATGGGGTCTCGAGAACTATATGCCTGGGATGGCCTTGACACTCAGTCCTCCCAATCTCACCCTCTCAAATAGACGTGAGCCACCTGCACCTGGCTAATACTATCTATGTCTATAGATAGATAGATAGATGACTGACTGACTGATTGATAGACAGATAGATGTAGATGTACATATAGATTTTTTTTTTTTTTTGCAGGGCTGGGGCTTGAACTCAGGGCCTACACCTTGAGCCACTCCAACAGCCCTATTCTTTTTTGTGATGGGTTTTTTCAAGATAGGGCCTCACAAACTGTTTGCCAGGGCTGGCTTCGAAGTGCCATCCTCCTGATCTTTGCCTCCTGAATAGCTGAGATTACAGGCATGAGCCACTGGCAAACAGCTTGACAATATATTTTTAATTATTCCAACTGTTTATTGACTTTTCTTGGATTTCCCAGATATAGTTGTATCAAGTATAATTTCCATTTTTCCTTCTGATTTTTATGTCTTCCTTCTCAGAAGGTATGAACTCCACAAGATTATAAAATTAAAGGAAAAAAGTTGCATATGTCTTTAAATGGCTTGCCTACCATGCTGGACACCTGTGTTTGATCCCTAGCACCGCAAAAAATAAAAATAAAAATAGAAAACATGAAAGAAGCTGGGTTGCTCCACACCTGTAATCCCAACACTTGGGAGGCTGAGGCAGGAGGATCCTAAGGTTAAGGTCAACCTGAGCCACACAGCAAGACCATCTCACAAAAGAAGAAAAGCAAGAAAACTGAGGAGGGAGTGGATGTCCCAGTTCTGTTGCTGGCTGCAGTGGGAACGCTTTTGAATTTTTCCCACTGGACAGTGGTGCCAGCTTTGGTTTGGCATATCATAGTCTTCACTTATTCTTTTTTTTCCTTTCCAGTGCTGGGGATCAAACCTAGGGCTTCAAGCATGCTAGGAAAGCACTGGGCTACCAACCTATGTTCCTCAGCCTACTCTCATTTTAATAAGTTTCTTCATGAAAAAAAATCAATAATATCAAAATTTATTATCTGTGTCATCATATTTTTCTTTATATATATTGAAATGTTGAATTACAACTTGTAGTGTTTTTTTTGGTGGTATGGAGGCTTGAACTCAGGGCCTTGAGCTTGCTGGGCAGGAGCTCTGCCATGAGCCCTGTGATGCTTTTTTTCTTTTTCTTTTTCTTTTTTTTTTTTTAACAAAACCATTGAAATTTTAATAATTACTTCTTTTACTGGTGTCTGAATGGACAAGTGGCGTGTGTTCTGCTTACAAAAGATGTCTGTGAAAATGTGAGTTTCTGGTCTTTACTGCCATGTTAAACTGTGTGTGTGTGTGTGTGTGTGTGTGTGTTCAGTAGAGAGTAGAATTGGAACAACTTTTAAAGAAGTAGAATTAACTGTTGTGTTAACCTTCCACTGCTGCATAAATACCCGGGGTGCCAGATTGGAAGATGAAAGGTTTCCTTGGCCACACGAGTTTGGAGGTTTTGGGCCATGTTGTCCCTGTTCTCTGGCCTGTGGCAAAGCTATGTGTGTCAAAACGCGTGACAGAGAAGAGGAGGCTGGGTCCAGTAGTCCCTCTGAGGGCACGTGGCAGTGACTAAGACCTCCCATGGGGGTCCACCGCTTGAAGGTTCCACCACCTCCCAGTAGCAGCTCAGAAAGACACCAGGCCTTTAACACATGGTCCTTGGGGACTTAACTGTAATGGTTACTTCTAGTTGACTCGGTCACACTAGACATGGGTGCGTTGTTGAGCCAATGCAATGTGATTGAAAAATAAGGAACATTTCGGTAAGTCACTGCGCCACGTAGGCTGCAGCTTTCATGGCTTGTCATGTGTGAGTAGGTTCGGCCGGCTGTTAAGATTACGACAGAGAGGTAGGTGCCAGTGCAACAAGAAGTTTAGTGACCTCTGCCAACTATAAACCTTTGGTTCTAAGGTTAACCGTGAATTTGTCTAGTAATGTCACCAACCGTGCCATGACTCTTTCAGTTTGAAAATTTGCCTTCTGATTACAAAAGCCTCAGAAGAGCAGCGGAGAGGAGAGGGTCTGGTAGAACACTGGTTCAGCACGTGCAAGGGCCTGGATCAGTCCCCAGCATGACCAAAACATTTGTAGGAGAAAGCCATGTTGTGTAGACAGCAGTTCTGGAATTTACTGGTGTGTTAATTTTCAGGTTCTCACTTTCCAGTGGGAGTGGTCCCTCCAAGAACGAAATCCCCGACCCCCGAGTCCTCCACCATAGCTTCCTACGTGACCTTGAGGAAAAGTAAGAAGATGATGGATCTCAGAACGGTACTGAATTAGAAATTACCTTCCGGAAGGACCCTAAACCTACCTGGCGCTCTTACTTCATTCCACATCTAGCATTCGATTAAAATTCTTTTACGTACTCTAAAAAAAAGTTGGTAATTTTCTTTAATTACGTCTAGAGAGCGAGCACCTTGGAGGACAGACCTAATCAGTTTGTAATCCAGGCGTCTTGAGCAGCCTTCCCTCTGGGATCTTAGCCAAAGCTTGAGACAGATACGTGCTGTACTTACTGGTGTCTGCTAATTTTGTGACATAAGGAGAGACTGACGGCGGGGAGCGTGACTCGGGAGAACCTGAGTTCAATTCCCAGTACCACAAAACAAGTGACAAGACTGAAAGGTGCACTGACCATGTGATGGGTTGGGTTAGGGGTGAGGGGCTGTTGATTGTTTTGGTTTGGGGGGAGTTTTTTGGTGAGTAAACAGGAGAGTTAATTGAGATAGAAGAGTAGCAAAGAGTAGAGCTCTCAGAGTTGGGAGGGGTCCCAAGAAAGGCTGCCCTGTTGTTTGTTTCTTTGACCCAGGGTCTCACTCTGTAGCTCAGGCTGGCCTTCGACTCAGGATCCTACTGCCTTCGCCTCCCACGTACTGGGATTACAGGTTTGCACCACCACACCCAGCTGTTTCTTTAATACTGACATTTGATTTTATTTTACTTTTATTTGTTTTGCAAAAGGGTCTCACTATGTAGCCCAGACTAACCTTAAACTCACAATCCTCCTGCTTCAATCTCTGAAGGCTGGGATTATAGGCGGCATCACCACACCCAAATGACATTTTTTATGGAGCAGAAGGGTGTTTTCTTTGGAAATTATAATGGGAAAATAACAAATCAAAAAAAGTAGGACTAGCTGGACACCAGTGGTTAGCACCCATAATCCTAGCTTCTCAGAAGGTAGAGATCAGGAGGATCGAGGTTCGAAGCCAACACAGGGAAGAAATCCTATCTCAAAAATACCCAACACCAAAAAGGGCTGGTGGAGGGGCTCAAGTGGTAGAGCATCTACCTAGCAAGCATGAGGCCCTGAGTTTGAACCCCAGTACCACCAAAAAAAAAAGAAAAGAAGACTATGGGCTCAAACCTAACTCAGTGTTAGAACACTTGGTAACGTGCAAGGCCCCAGGTTCAATCCCAGCAACCATAACAAAAGAGAAAGGAGGTACCCTCTCTGGGACCCCTCCCAAATTGGGGAGCTCTACTCTTCGCTCCTTTTCTATCTTGATAAACTCTCTCACTTTACTTAAGGTGAAAAAAAAAAGAGAAAGGAGTAAAAGTACATGTCGAGATCAAACCGAAAGATACGAGTAGATTCTTGCTGTTCTACAACTATATTAAATATTAGAAGATGTGACAAATAAACATAGGGGAGTGTAGTTACATAATCTTTGTTTTGTTTTTGTGGGAATGGGGTTTGAACTCAGGGCTTAGCACTTGCAAAGCAGGCACTGTATTGCTTGAAACACACTTCCAAGTCCATTTTGCTCTGCTTATTTTGGAGGTGGAGTCTCAAGAACTGTTTGCCTGGGCTGGCCTCAAACTGTGATCCTCCTGATCTCAGCCCCCAAGTAGCCAGGATTACTGGCACCTACCCTTATTGCCTTTTCAGATAATTCGGAACAGCCCGCACTTCCTTCAGACTTTCTCACAGAGCCACATGTGGAAGTGCACACTTGTCATTCCATCTATTTGCGAGGCACTGGAAGGAGGATTGCAAGTTTGAGGCCAGCTCAGGAAAAGTTGGGGAACCCTGTCTTAAAAACAATACACATAAAGCCAAAAGGGCTGGGAGTATAGCTCAGATGGTAGAGCTCTTGTCTAGCAAACGGGAGGTCCTAAGTTAAGTCCCTAGTACCTCAAAAAAAAATGTCAGCTGGGCACTGGTGGCTCACACCTGTAATTCCAGCTACTTGGGAGGATGAGATCAGGAAGATGGAGGTTCAAGGCCAGCTGGGACAAATAGTTCAAGAGATCCCATCTCCAAAATAACGAGAGCAAAATGGACTGGAGGTATGAGTCAGGTAAAACACCTGCTTTGCGAGCACGAAGCCCTGAGGTCAAACCCCAGTCCCACCAACATGTTTTCAAATATGGAACCGCCTAGTTTATAGAAAGTAAATATGTCCACCGTTTGACCGTTGGTCATGAACTATCTGAGGCGTTGCTGTGACTGGCAGTTTCACAGTAAACGCCAGCTAAACTTCACATTTGCATTAAAATGAAAGACATCTCTGGTATCTGAAGGCCACGTTGCAGCTCCCCGCTTCTAGTCTGAGCTTAACGTGCGCACCTTCCTGTTCCAGGGCCCTGGGGCAGCGTATTCCAGAGCAGCCCTAAATACCTTCTCCTGGTTGGTTTTGCTTCGCTTTCTTTGCTCTGCCCTGCTCTGCCTCATTTTAAAGCAGACAATGCCCCGTCTGTGTTCCTCTCTCTCTGGCCTCCTTCATGTCTCTCTTTCTAATGCTAGCCGTGCTCACCGGGCACCAGTGAGTGTAACCTCGAGTGGCCTTCTGATGATGCTGTATTGGCATTCAAAACCTCACTTTTGGTTAAATAAATAAATGAAAGCAACAAAAGTAAATGTCCTTTCTAACATTTTATTTCACCTTTTCCAAAGTTGCTCTGAACTCTGAATTTAAGTATTCACGGGCTTCTCTTCCGTCTCCAGGAAAGGCCGAGGAGCGCCGTGGAGCAGCTGTGTCTGGCTGAGAGCTCTCGACCTCGCATGACCGTGGAAGAGCAGATGAGGAGGCTCCGCAGGCACCAGCAGGCCTGCCTGAGGGAGAGGAAGAAGGCGCTGAGCGTGATCGGGGCTCCAGACCCAGTCCCCCTCCAGAGTCCTTCCAACCTGAGGGACAGTCCACTCAGGGTCACGCAGGTAGAGCCAATGCTGTGGTTGTTCACGTACACATCTGCCGTCGCTTGAATGTCACAATCATGAGCTACATGAGCGGTGGGTTTTAAAGGTCTACGGGGTCAGGGTGTGGTGCAAGTGATCAAGCACTTGCTCAGCAAGCTGGAGGCCCTGAGTTCAATCCCTGGTACAACCTAAACAAATGAAAAGGCTACCGTATGGATAGTAACTCTGTATTTAATTCTTACAATGATAAGGTAAAACAGCAGGAGCAGAATGAAAGGACCCCAGGCCCAGTATGTAAAAGCCAGAATACTTGGTGGACACCCTTGTACTGGGGTGGACTTCACCTTCTCCGCTGTAATCCAGCAGTGCAGCCTCACTGCCCGTGCACAAACGCTACGACGTGAGAGAGTTCTCAACAGTGTGAAATGCCATGCAGGGTACCAAGAGAGTCCCCAGTTCCCCTCCCAATAAAGTGTGACTTACTCTATCCTAATGTAACATGACCTAAATTGTAGCAGCAAAGATCTGAATAAGAGTTGTTAGCCTGCTATCCATCACCTCTCAGTGTCATGCTTGTAAAATATCACCATGCCACTTCTGTTTGTCCACTGCCTTCTTAAGGACAGGAGGAGACAGCGGACCAGCAAGCCTCTGCAGTGGCTTGCTCCCTCTGTTCTGTCCCTGTCAGTGGACAGTGGTCACCCGTGCATAAAACTGATCCATACAGCATAAAATGGTTGCATCAGCTGACAGTGCTTCCCTGCCCTCATAGACGTCCCCTACTGTAATCAAAGACAGACCTTTACCTGTTAGTAATCACAGCATTCGGGAGGCAGCAACAGGAGGATCTCAAGTCTGAGGCCAATATGGGTTACACAGTGAGACCCTGTCTTTTAAAAAAAAAACAAAAAATTAAAAAAAAACAACCCTCACTACTGGAGAGAGACAAAGTGACAGCTGAATAATGTTACATTCTACAAATTGCAAGATGGGTGATTTAGAAAAGGGAGGGAAAAAAAGTGTATCTTTCCTTCGCTGGTGTTCACAAAGATTTTCCTTGTGAGTGGAGCTCCAGCTTTGTCTTCAAAACTAATGGACACTGTCTAAAATATACATGCATGCACAGAATGAATCTAAAAGAGCTATGTGGCCCGGCTTGGTGGTGCACACCTGTAGGCTCTGCATGGTGTGGGGGCCAGGAGGATTTTGAGTTCCAGGCCAGCCTGGGCTACAAAGTGAGACCCTGTCCCAAAAACACAAAAACCAAAGATAAATAAAAAGCAATGTGTCTTTTGGGCAGGCTCGAAGGAGGGAAGATCACAATAAGGAGCTGGACTCCAGCAGTAGAGAAAACGATACAACGCCAAGCTGCGATGCTTCCATGGCAGACACTGTCCAACCAAACGAAGCCGAACCCCAAAGCACGGATATCAGCACTGAGGTAGCGATGGTGCTCCAAGGGGTAGATTCCTGAAGGTCAGATTGGCCCAGGTGCTTCAAAGTAGAGGCCATAAACCTGAAGGAATGGTAGATTTCCTTTCACCTGGGTGATACAGTCAGCCACACAAAACATGTATGCGTTAACTGAAAAAGTAAAACGTGGGCTGGGGTGTAGCTCAGCGGTATGATGCTTGCCTAGCATGTGCAAGGCCCTGGGTTCAATCCCCAGCGCTACAAAAACACACCAAAAAAGAAAATGTAAAAAATAAAGCTGAATAATAAAGTATTGCTAACCCACTTGAAAGCATTTCATATCCCAGGCTAGGGATGTAGCTCAGTGGTAGAGCACACTTACCTGGCATGTGCAAGTCTCTGAGTTCAATCCCCAGCACCGCAAAAAAAAAAAAAAAAAAAAAATCCCAGCATCTGGGTCTTAGCAGTGTACCAATGTACCTCTCTTTGTGTAATTTGCTTTTTGTATTCTAGTGATAGATAATGATGACATTTCTAATATACATGAATCTAGATTTATTACTGGTAATAATAGGCTGTCACTTGGGTATAACTTAATAAACATTTGAGATCCTTTTAGATATACTGACATTAAATGTGGTTAAGAATGATTTGAAAAGGACTTTTTTTTTAATTCTGTAGTTGAAGAGAACTGAAAATATTTTTTATGAAATGCTTTTCACACCTGAGCCAAATGGAACAGATTCTGAGGAAGCTCTGCATAAAGGAGAGGACGAGGGAACAGAGCCCGCAGGTGTCACCCACAGGTAATAATGGGCACAGACAAGCCAGGCTACCTACTGCTCATGAGTAGTGAACTGCAGCAGAGCGCAGCCTTCCTGAGCACAGTCCTCTTCCAAAATGTGGGTAACAGCCGGGCACTGGTGGCTCACGCCTGTGATTCTAGCTACTCAGGAGAAAGAGATCAGGAGGATCAAGGTTCAAGGCTAGTCCTGGGGAACGGTTCAAGAGATCCCATCCCCAAAATACCCAACACAAAAAAGGGCTAGCAAGTGACTCTATAATCTTTTTTATGTTTGGAGATTCCGTAAGAAAGAAAAGAATATAAGAGTAATTAGAAGCAAAATGTTAGCAGTTGCTAAAAAAGGTTGTGGCGTCTTCTCTCCAAAGTTAAAGTTCTTCACTAAAAGACTAGATCCAGGGCCAATGTTTTGCCTCATGCTGTAATCCCAGCTACACAAGAAGTAGAGGCTGACAGGACGGACATCCAAGCACAAGTAGCAAGCGCAAGGCCCTGAATTCAAACCGCAGAACACCAAAAAAAAATAATAAATTTTAGCCAAGCATGATGGCACACATCTGTAATCACAGTACTCCCGGGATGACTATGGTTTGGAGGCCAACCTGGGCTGCACAGCAAGATCCTGTCTCAAAAAAAAAAAAGACTTATTTTCCAATGTAAATATTAACATTGCAGTGTATTTCCCATAGCCCTCCGGGTGAGGCACAGAGTGCCAGTCATAAACCAGAAGACTGTCCTGAAGCAAGGAAGAGCAGTGGTGACAAGCAGGACGAGATGGTGACTTCTGAACCAGCTCCTGAGACTGCCAGAGAGAGTCGGACGCCAGCAGGTACAGTAACACGACTTACACATTCCTTCCAGGTACTTCTCTGAACTTGTGAGTGTATTTCTAACAAGGAAGTCGCTTCATACCCTGACTGCAGATCACAGGCCTGCACCTCCCTACACCTGCAGGGGTGTGATGGACCAAGGCAGAGAGGACACCCCACCACTGAGTGCTCAGCCTTGGGGATCAGCAGATTGGTTTTGCTTTGGATTTGGTTTCCAGTCATAACACAGGTGGTGAACTTTCTGACAAGGTCTGTCAGGACTGGAGGTGTGGCTCAAGCAATAGAGCACCTGCTTTGCGAGCAGGAAACTCTCAGTTCAAACCTCAGTTCCACCAAAAAAATAAAGAAAGAAGGAAAAAAGAAGAATATTCTTCAGTACTTTGGAGTTTTATTGGTTCAGGGCTGGATTGTCAGCTTTCACAACCTGACAGTTTGAGGCAGTGGGAGGTTTTCTTTTTTTTAATTTTTTAAAATTGTTTATACATTTATTCATATGTGTATACATTGTTTGGACCATCTCCGGTGGGAGGTTTTCTGTCTCACGTGGCAGAGTGACCTGTTTCTCCAGCCTCTGCTGCAGTCCACGTCTGAATTTCTCTTTGATAGAGCATCACTGTCCATAGCTATAAAAAAAAAAATGGTTGTGTGCCGTTCTGTTCTCTTCTCCTTTTGAGGGGTGAGTAATGGAACCCGTGCCCTTGCAAGTGCTGGGCAGGTGCTCCAGTACTGACCTCGTCCTCCCCTCCCTCTCTGTGATTTGGACTTCTTTTTCTTTCTTTAGGGTTTGTGGGCATAGGGGTGGCGTGAGAGTGCGGTGGGATCACACCGCCAGTGCCTGTGTCAGCTTTGCCTCTTGTGGTTCATAAACAAGCCATCCCTAATAAACCTGCCCTCGCCCTCGGCCCCCTTGTGTGGAAGGTCAGAGCAATGAAATTTCACTTGTAGGACATATTAGGAAGGCCATGGGGTCTGTGTCTCACATTCATGAAACATGCCTGTGTGCGTCCTCGGTCAGGTTCCCCAGCAGACACTGAACACTCTTCCATGTCCTCCGTCATCGATGAGGCAGTGAGCACAGTGTCATCTTTTTGTCACTGGTCATTTGGTCATTGTATAACAGCTCTGAATCAAAGGCAGTGACTGCATTTAACCGGCCACGTGAACTCTAGTGTTTAGCTGCTGAATAGGAAAGACCCTACAGAACCCATCCCAAGGCCTCTGAAAAACAACTTCAAAGCACAAAAAGGTGGGGAAGAATTTTACGCCAGGCCTCGGAGACCCTTCCTGCTGAGCAGTAAGCTGTTGGTTAGAAAGTCACAGCAGAACATGACACTGTTACTGCCTCCTTCCCAAGCACGTCCTCACTGCTGTGGGGTCACAGCAAGGGGTCACCCCTCCAGACATGTCCTCAAGATTCTTACCTTCTCCCGTTTTCTTGATGTTTCAGTGAAAAGCCTGTCTCCGTCTCCGGAGTCCCCAGCATCCCCAGATGCACCGGCTCAGCGGCAGCTCACGGAAGGATCTCACTTCATGTGCGTGTAGTCTCGAAGTACGTGGCTCTGCTGGGACGTACAGAGCTGCTGTACTTTGTGGACTGCACGTGCAGGATCGTGCACAAGCTGGCCATGAACCTGAACCATAGGCCGCAGTAGCTCTGCTGTGCGGGGAACGGCCTGGGCCAGCGCCAGCCTCGGTGCCGGGAGCCCAGAGCGCTGCCTAAGCCACTGTATGGCCAGCAGATCCTTTATACGTTCAGTGTGACTTGTCCACCGTAACGTGTTATTTTCATCTGAAAGGACAAAGAAATGTTTATGATCCACTCAACTTGGTACAATCTTTAAGAGCTATTAGAAATGACTTGTAAAAAACTTTTTCTTGGTTTCTTTTTTCTTTGTTAGTTTGTTTGGGCTTTTGATTTTCTGGGGTTTTTGGTTTGGGAGGGGTGGTTTGGTTTTTGGTTTTCACTGTTGTTTTTTGAGACAGGGTCTTGCTATGTAGCCCAGGCTCTACCTCCAGCTTCCACCTGCCAATAACTGGAATTATAGGTGTGTACCACTCTGCCCAACTGAGTTTTTCAGTCAGTATAGCAGCTTAAAAAAAAAACCATGCATGAAGCTGGGCAGCAGTGGCTCACACCTGTAATCCTAGCTACTCAGGAGGCACAGATCAGGAGAATTTCAGTTTGAAAGACCCTATCTTGAAAAATCCCATCACAGAAAAGGGCTGGTGAAGCTGCTCAAGGTGTAGGCCCTGAGTTCAAACCCCAGTACTGCAAAAAAAAAATCAAGAATGTCCAGAGCCACAGTCCAGTGTGTTCCCAGGTTGTGTCATTGTATGGTCATTGCCAGATCCTTTCTATCAGCCACCACTATCAACTAGTGGCACAAATTCACATAGCTTTATGTCTTCTCCCTGGGTACATGTCATTTCCATAGGACGAAGCAAAACTTCGCATATGACTTAGTATGTTATTACATATTTTAATGAAGTTCTGCAAACCTTTGTTTACTTTATTGAAGTTTAGATTCAGCCACTGATTTGGACATTTGTCACTCTGAATTGCTACTGAATTATATTCTGTTTGTGAGTCAGGCCTATGGAAGGGAGCTGAGGTGTCCTGTGGCAATATTGGCTCTAGCTGTGCCAGTGGTTCTGTTGCCCTGTGTTTGTTGGTTGCTTGGGGATGGTCATTCATTAACACTGCAGGTGTCACAGCATGTCCCCTCTTATTTTCCAGCTCTCCTGACTTCTGTTGAGCCCGCTCAGAGCTTCAGACACGGCCCTTCAGCAATGTGAGAAGATATTGTACAGTATATTTTAAATCTATGAAATTCATAGTTCTGATGCTTTTGGCCACAGAGCATCGTTTTATCACTTCTGGAAAATGTTTCTTCCAGAGCAGCTTTAACGGCCTCCGTCCACTCCAGTCTCCAGCCTGTCCCTTGACATTAGCTCGCCGCTGTGACGTCAGCACGTCAGTAAGGTGCTTCTCAGTGTGCCGTCTCCAGAGCTCGCCCCCCCTCCTCTCGCTCTAGGGCTCCATGTTTCTAAGTCAGCACTAAAGCACAGAAAGTTAGCTATTATCTGCAGTGAAGCTCGTTTCACTTTTTTTGTTTCCCCTTCCCATTATGGCTCCTGCAATGCTTTGTTTCACACTTGATTTGTAAAGGACTTTTATATATATATATATATTTAAAATGTGCTACTTTATTACTGCTCAGTGAAGTACGTCCTGTTGCCCGCTATATAGTTCTCTCGGTCAGATCGCAACGTCAGCCAGTTACTGCCGCGTCCGCTTCTGCACAGGCCTTACCCTTCCCTTTTCCTACAGAGCTACTCTGAGTAGGTATTTTCAAGTTCTGGACTTACACTTCGTTGGAATAGATGTGTACAGCAATAAGGAGGTCTTCAGATCACTGCTTAGTCTGTGTACAAATGTAATTACGCTCACCGTGTGGACGGTGCACGTGAGCGCCTGTAATGTAGCCCAGGCTCCTTACTATTGTTTAAATGCAAATGTTCATATCTCATTTCTTTTTTATCATGTTAAATAAATGTTGATGTTCTTAAATCACTTGTCGGAATTGTTTTTCTTTCCATCTAAAGTGTTAAGTCTGAGGCTGGGTGAGTAGTGGTTCAGTCCACAGTATGAAAAAGGAAAAAAATCAGAGACTTTGAAAAGAAAAAGCAGCCTGTTACTCTTATAACCCTGGACCGCGTCATAAAAGGCCCTTGTCTGTCTGTTTTCTCCTGTCACAGTCAAGGGACCTGAGGCCTTGAGAGATACTGGCTTCCCGTCATAATCCCATTACATATGGTGACAGAATTTGGGCCAGCATATAATTTTTTCTGACTGTTCCTCATAAACCCATCAGCTTGTCACCAGTGGGAAAACTTTTTTTGAGGTCTTCCCCCATACTTCTGTTTCTTTCCAAGTTTTGCTAAGCAGCTTCAAGTGTCTGTAGCCCCCGGCTCAGGAGCTGGGATTTGAGAGGAGCGTGTAGTCCCTCCTGAGGGGACAGAGCCCATGTCACCAAAAGGGGGGCCTCTGGGGCTGTTTCTCTCACGGTGCGTTCTTTGCAGCTGTCCACGCTCCTCAAAATCAGTTACACTCTCTTCCCTATAACCTGCTGTGCGCCCCATATTGTTCCCAGAGAACAGGCAAGCTCGATGCTTTCAGATTCCTCTACAAAACAGCCCAGGCCAAACCGTCACCGGCCAATCTCCCCTCCTGGTGCCACGCCAAAGAGGATTTAGATTTAATACAAGATGCAGATGTATAAAAGGTCATCTGCGAAAAGCACACAAAATGCAAGTCGATACGGTCCATGTTGGAGGAGCTGAGTGGAGAGAGGTGACGACAGGAGACCGCCTCGCTCTTTATAACCACACACCACCCTCTAAGGTGTCACACACAAGTCTCTGATCATTATGTCCCTTTAATTATGATATGATTATTACAGATTCTGTGTCTGTGTTGGGGCAGAGTTTATGTTATTCTTTGAATTTTGGTCTTTTTGTAGGGGTTTTTTAGTATTTAAGAAATCTGCACACGTGTGTATTTATGGTCTTTTTTTTTTTTTTGGTGGAGCCAGAGTTTGAACTCAGGGCTGCATACTTGCAAAGCAGGCACTCTCCTTAAGCCATGCTTCCAGTCAATTTTGCTCTGGTTATTTTGGAGATGGGGTCTCATGAACTGTTTGCCAAGGCAGCTCTTAAGCTATGATCCTCCTGATCTCAGTCTCCAAAGTAGCTAGGATTACAGGCGTGAGCCACCAGTGCCCAGCCATGTGGTTTTAAATGTTGATTTTATAAGTACGACTTTTTTTTTTTTGTAGTACTTGGGATTGAACCCAGGCCTTCAGACATGCCAGGCAAGGGCTCTGCCACCAAACTGCATCCCATCCCCAACAGTTTTTGTTTTCAAAGATAGGGCCTTGCAGCCAGGCATCAGTGGCTCACACCTGGAACACTAGTTACTGGGGAGGCTGAGATTGGGAGAATTGTAGTTTGATGCCAGCCTAGGCAAATATTTCATGAGCCCCTAGGCTCACGCAGTAGAACATTTGCTTTGCAAGCACCAAGCCCTTGAGTTCAAACCCCAGTCCCACCAAAAAAACAAAGTCTCGCTATATAACCTAGGCTGGCCTAGAACTCTTGACCCTCTTATGTCAGCCTCTCAAGGACTGGGATTACAGGCATGCCCAGCTAATATTTTTTTAACTAGTGGAAGAAGGAAGAGCTGTTCTTACTAGGATTGCTGGAATCCCAGGGAGCCAGGAGAAAGCAGTAGGAAGTAGTTTCTGTTTCTCAACGTTTGAGAAAACCAGGTGAAAAGTCAGTACCACAGCACAGAGCACTGAGACTTGTGAAGAGATACAGTGAAATGGAATACTGGTTTTCAGAAAATTGAATTAGGTTGGTAATTTCTATCTTACCTAGAACTTACCTTACCAGCTCCCCAGCCTGTTGAAGAGATACACAGAAAGTCCCAAGAGAGGCCGGCTGTGGTAACGCACTTCTGTAATTCTAGCACTTAGGAGGCTGAGGCAGGAGGATTATGAGTTCAAAGGCAGCCTGGACTGTATAACAAGACCCCGTCTCAAAAATAAATAAGTTTTAAAAGGCTACGTGAAGCTAGGTGCCGGTGGCTCATGCCTGTAATCCTAGCCACTTGGGAGGTGAAATCAGGAGGATCACAGTTCAAGGTCAGCCTGGGCAAATAGTTCCTGAGACACTCTCTCAAAAATACCCATCACAAAAAGGGCTGGAGTTGTGACTCAACAGTACAGCACCTGCCTGGAAAGCATGAGGCCCTGAGTTCAAACCCAGTACCACAAAAACAATGACCTGAATGCAGGTCGCACATGTGAGAACTTAACTGTACTCTGCTAAGGGTACTAAAGAAAGTTACAAGGTGGAAAATGTAGCTGTCACCTCAGTTTAGTTTTGGGAAACTTTTTTATTTAAAAAGTATGAGGACTTGGCTCAAGCTAGCCTAAACAAATAGTTCTCAAGATGCCATCTCCAAAATAATCAGAGCAAAATGGGCTGGAGCCTGCTTTGCAAGAATGAAGCACTTTCAAATCCCAGCCCCACCAAAATAAAAAATATATGCACACATATACAGGTTTTTGGGTTTGGAAATGTAGCTTAATGGTAGAGCACTTGCCTTGCATGCCCAAGGCCCTGGGTTCAGACCCCAGCACCACAAATACATATATCTATGTCATATTATTACATAGTTTATTATTGTTTTAGATGAATTAACTAGTTTTTATTTTTGGTGGGACTGGGGTTAGAACTCAGAGCTTCCTTCAAGTTGCAAAGCAGGCACTCTCACTTGAGCCACCCCTTCAGCCCTTTTTTGTTTTGTTTAGTTTTTTTCTTTTTTGGTACTGGGGTTTGAACTCAGGGCCTACACCTTGAGCCACTCCACCAGTCCTTGTTGTGATGGGTATTTTCGAGATAGGATCTCATGAACTTCTTGTCTGGGCTGGCTTTGAACTTAAATCCTCCTGATCTCTGCCTCCTCAGTAGCTAGGATTACAGGCATGAGCCACTGGTGCCTTCCTCTTCTTCAGTTTTTGAAGCAGTCTCACTATATTATAGGCTTGCCTCAAACTGAGATCCTTCTGTTCAGCCTCCTGAGTGCTGGATTACAGGCTGGGATTACCACACCCAGCAAACAAATGGGCTGAGTTCTCAGACTTCCCACAGATGTTTTTTGATCCTGGGGATCAAAGCAAGAGCCTCGTGTGTGCAAGCAGGTGCTGTATCACTAAGCTCCACCCAGCCCTGAATAAATACTTGAACATTTCCACAGCAGCAAATTCTGCTAAGTGTCACCTTCATAAGCTATTTCAGGTCCTTGGGAGTTGTTCAGCAGCTGAGACTTCTAAGACCCAAAAGTTGTTAATCTGCTGTCAGCCGCCTGTGACTGTGCACAGCTGAGAAAGGAGAACTCCCACAGGGCAGACAGAAGCCACCCACCCATGTCCCAAGGATGGCGCTGTCACCTGCGGGTCATCAGGTCTGCACCCTAAGCCAGAAGCCTCAGTGAGATGAGTACTGTGCATGCCATCAGACCTGTGGGTTGTGAGTCACTCATGAAGAATGACTTGGAAAGGCAGAGCCCATACGTGCCACGGTCTGAAAACCTGAAGCTCCCTCAGCCAGCTGTTCTGTCCTGTGTCACCTCAGCACACATTTGTGTCCTGCCTCCATCTCTAGGCACACATGGACTTAGAACCTCGCTCACGTAGAAGAGCTCTTACCCAGAGTCCAGCCCTCATATTCACCTGAAATTTATTTTTGAGTCAGGCATATAGGGGTGTGCCTGTAGTCCCTGCACTTGGGAGGCCAAGTTGGGAGAACCATTTGAGCCCAGGAGTTGGTGGCCAGCCTAGGCAACATAGTGGCATCCCATGTCAAAAATCTGGGGGGCTGGGGCTGTAGCTCAGTAGTAGCAGGCTTGCCTAGCAGCACAAAGCCCTGGGTTTGAAAAAAAAAAAATTTAAAAAACTTAGCTTTTGTGAGCAGTGAGTGATCACAAAACCTCAGTTATAAGTAGAATGATACCTGTGGAAACTGTTCCAGGAATGGGGGCCATGGGGAGATTAGGGAAAATGGTGGAGGGGTGAATTCAAATATGACACATTTGATACATCATAAGAACTTTTGTAAATCGCCAGTGTACCCCCCAGCACAACAATAAAAAAAAGAAGAATTACAAAACATAAAAGTAGAAATGTGCCAGCACTTGGGCTGGTGCTGGAGGATTGCAAATTTGATGCTACCCTGTCTCCCACCCCACAAAAAAAATAAGAGAAACATGAAACATGTTATTCCATGTCAAAATGGAGTAGCAAGCATGAGGCTCTGAGTTCAAACCCCAGTACCGCCAAAACACAGGAGTGATGACGGTCAGAGCAGACACAGGAAAGGGACGTACTGACATGGAGTGGGTGGGAGTGCAGGGGAAAGCTCTGCATAGTCTGGCCCAGCAACTCTACTTCCTGGAATATGTTTCAAAGATATGATCTGCTGGGTTTGTGCGTGGGGGCTGAATGTGGGATGTATTTAATGCTGTGCCTTAGGAAGTCTGACAGGTCCATGGCTGCTGGGAAGGATCCCTGAGTCCCTGCTCTGCCATCAGCTGGACGGTCACATCTCAGGCACTGCCCCTGACCCCATGCAGAGGAGGCTGAAGACGCATTGTCAGCTGCATCCATTGATGGCTCTATGATGTAGTGAAATGTGTGGATTTGGTCTTGTCCTGTGTCCTGACAGCTCCTAAACTCCTTAGGATTTCCAGAGTGAAAACCAGGCCAGGGCCTGTGTCCCAGCTGCTTGGGAGGCTGAGGCAGGAGGATGGCTTAAGTCACCAGTTTGAGACCAGCCTGGGCAAATCCATGTCAAGAAGAAGAAGGAGAAGAAAGGTGAATCTCCAGACAGTATCTTTTGCTAATAAAATGAATGGCAGAAAAAG